TCTTTCTGTGCAACAATGGTGGAATTGGTGATCCTCTTACCATCTTGGCTTCTGAGAGACACTGACACTCTGAGAAGCTCTTTTTATACCCAATCATGTTGTCAATTGACCTAATTAGTGTTAATTGGTCTTCCAGCTGTTCGTTATATGCTCAATTTCCTTTTTCCAGCCACTTATTGCTACTTGTCCCAACTGTTGTGGGATTTGTTGGCACTGTGAAATTTTGAATCAACATATTTTTCCTTTAAAATGTTACATTTACTCAGATTAAACTTTTGATCTGTCATCTATGTTATATTATGAATAAAATATTGACATTTGCCATCTCCACATCATTGCATTCAGTTTTTATTCACAATTTGTTTAGTGTCCCAACTTTTGTGGAATCTGGTTTGTACATAAACTGATCTGCAAATGCATCTTTGCTAATCACGAGCGCTCGAAAAAGATTTAGAGTAGTTTAAATGTAATCATCAGCTGCTTTGATGTTTTGCTTTAGTTTTTCGGGAGCTCTGTATGAGAACAAAGTCCCTGCTCAGTAATCCAGGTATACAATCCAACATTTTTCAGTCAGCTCTCTGTTTGAGACGTATCGAGGAGCTGTTTCAACAAAATGTGTCGTGTCTTCCAGGTAGCAACCCAGGAGGAGTTCTTCAATCTGTCCCAGTGCCAGCTGGTCAACCTCATCAGCCGTGACGAGCTCAACGTGCGCTGCGAGTCCGAAGTCTTCCAGGCATGTGTGGCCTGGGTGCGCTACGACCAAGAGAACCGTCGACCGTACGTTCAAGCCTTGCTTCAGGCCGTTCGCTGCCATTCCCTCACCCCCAATTTCCTCCAGACCCAGCTGCAGTCTCTGGACTGGGACCCTCCGTGCAAGGACTACCTGGCCCAGATCTTCCAGGACCTCACGCTTCACAAACCAACCAAAGCAATTCCTTTCAGAACGCCCAAGGTGCCGCAGCTCATCTACACAGCAGGGGGGTATTTCCGCCAGTCTCTCAGCTACCTGGAGGCTTACAACCCGTGTTCAGGGGCGTGGCTGAGGCTGGCGGACCTGCAGGTCCCCCGCAGCGGCCTGGCAGCCTGTGTGATCAGCGGGCTGTTCTACGCCGTGGGCGGCAGAAACAACGCACCTGACGGCAACATGGACTCCAACGCCTTGGACTGCTACAACCCCATGAACAACTGCTGGCGTCCGTGCGCGCCCATGAGCGTTCCCAGGAACCGAATCGGCGTTGGTGTCATCGACGGCATGATCTACGCCGTTGGTGGTTCTCACGGGTGCATTCATCACAACAGCGTGGAAAAGTGAGTCTCCTGAGAATCTTCAGTACATGTGTTGAGACGTGCACGACCGCAGGAAGTCAGCCTGCAGGCACTTCCTGCTCGTTCTGTTCAGGTGCTCCAGCCTCGTGTAAAATGTACATTTTTAATTTGAATTAAAAGCAGAGTCTAAAAGTCGAGAGGAGCGTTTGATCTTGTCCTTAAGGGCAAGTGAAGCGGGGACTTGTCCTCTTCAGAGCACGTGTTCTGGGGCTGCGCTCGTGTTTTCAGTGTGACCCGTTTGCGTGGCCTCAGTTTGACACGAGGCCACACGTGCACGTCAGTTCCTCACGTCTCCAGGTGCTTGTTGAGTGACGATGTCTTTACCTCCAGCTTTATTCCAAGAAGCGTCGTCTTTAATCGGAGCAGCAGTTTGTGTGAAAGCAGAACGCGCCCGACCTGTTTGAGTTCTCGCTTCACGATGCTGAAGGAAACGTAAAGTTTATCGTGCACGCTACGCTTACAGGGAGATGAACGTGCACCTCGGATCATGCATGTGAGCTGCTGGCTGATTCCTCTAAATGCCTTCAGCTCTGAGAAAGCGCTGGTCTTCGCTGCAGGACCGAGTCCTGGTTGGCTGCAGGGTTGGAGGGAAGTGGCTCCTAGAAATGTGGATGGAATATTTCCTGGAAGAACTTGAATCTGTAGATCTGCTCATTGTTTACGTAAAGGTGAAGCTGCGGCTCATTCCAGCTCGTACCTTCAGCACGTGGTCTGATCGCTCTTCTTCTGTGTTCAGGTATGATCCAGAGAGGGACCAGTGGCATCTGGTCGCCCCCATGTTGACACGCCGTATAGGTGTCGGTGTTGCAGTCATCAACCGGCTGCTGTATGCCGTCGGTGGCTTTGACGGGGCCAACCGGCTCTGCTCCGGTGAGTGCTACAACCCTGAGAGGGACGAGTGGAGGACCATGGCCCCCATGAACACGCTGCGGTCCGGAGCTGGTGAGGAAGAAATTCAAAGTAACTGTCATGAGAAACTCTCACCTGCCAGCGTGGACACAGCTGCTTGTGCCAGTTTACCACCTCGTCTTGGTTCACCAGGTGTTCCAGTAACGCTGCTGGTGTCAGGTGCCCCAGAATGACCTTTGACCCACAGCTAAAAGAAGCTCAGATCAGTCAGAAGAGTGTGTTCACTTTAAATTAGTGTGCAGTGTAGTTTTATCACCATTATTCAGGATGATCATCGGTGTGCATGGTCATCCTGATTCTGTTCAGAAGAAACGGATGAAAGTCAGAAAGGTCTCCAGGTTCGTGTTCCTCCATCGACTTGTTGTTCGTAGGTCTGCCTCCAACATTCTGTGTAGAAGTACCGTATTTTTCTCTGTAGATGTCAGGTTTTCTGCATAAATTAGCATTTCTGCGACTTGTACAGTGAAGAGACTTGTTGATGTTTTTCCATGTTTCTAAACCAGTTTTGTCTGAGATCTGATGATTTCATTCGTTCTGCCATGGGAATTATTGAACACTACCATCTTCAGCCACTAGAGGGCGCTCGAGGAATATGTTGGTCTGTGGTAAGGAGCCGCCTCAGAGCTCCTGCATCAAACATCACATGAGCTGCATGTGACCACCGCCCAGGAGAAATGCAGCTCATCTGACCGTTAAGCAAAAGTTAGACTGACACCACCTTTACTGTAAAGTCAAGCAAAAAATAATTGTTTTTAAATGTTATTCTTGTTAAATTTTTGTTAAAAGTCCTCCCGTGCACGCTCCCACCATTTGGCAGCCAGTCAGTTTTTGGCACAACACGACCCATGTCGTTGGCCGTGACTCGTAATGAAGCGACTTGTTTCTGGATGTTTCCACTTTATAGCCATATTTGGACTGATGCGACTTGTAGGGCGGAGCGACGTGTACGGTGGCAAGTACGGTAATCTGACGTCAGTCCAACAGTGAAAGCAAACGGACCGTGTTTTTCCTTTACGTTCCTCTGTTCACTCCTAATAAGGTGTTGTGTTCAGGTGGAGGCTCTGCTGGCGACAATGAAGGTAAAGGTTTCGACCGTTCATGTAAATGATCTGAATGTCTCCAAACATCCTGACGGCTGTTTCTGTTCACGACGCTCATCAGGAGCCACGTTGAGTTCACTGAGCGTCCGCTGAGCGTCAGCTGAGCTTCAGCTGACGTTCGATGAGCTTCAGCTGAACTTCAGCGAATGTCAGCTGACGTTCGATGAGCTTCAGCTGACGTTCGGTGAGCTTCAGCTGACGTTCGGTGAGCTTCAGCTGACGTCCGGTGAGCTTCAGCTGACGTTCGATGAGCTTCAGCTGACGTTCGGTGAGCTTCAGCTGACGTTCGCTGAGCTTCAGCTGACGTTCGGCTCACAGCTGTAGCAGCGCCGCAGCAGCTCTGACAAAACGTTTTGCTTTGAGTTGACGACGGCGTCGAGGAAAAGGAACCGTCAGATTTCGGACATGAGATGAGTCAACATGCATCAAGTGTTCTGTATGTTTTGAATCAACTTGTTTATTTCTGTGTGTTTTAGTTCTTTAAGCTGCTCTGAGCTCGTTTGATTAAACTGTTTGACTCAAAGAATGGATGTAGAATATTTAGCTGTTGGAGCCTTGTAGTCCCAATAAGAAGCAGCTCCCACAACCTTTGACTGACGGCTCGTCTTGTCCTTCCATCCCGATCGAGTAACGACACGTTTGAGCTTCTCTCTCCTGCAGGCGTGTGCGCGCTCAACAACCAGATCTTTGTTATGGGAGGATACGACGGCACCGAGCAGCTGAACACCGTGGAGCGCTACGACGTGGAAACAGATGCGTGGAGCTTCGCTGCCTCCATGAGGCACAGGCGCAGCGCTCTGGGAGTCACGGCTTTACACGGACGCATCTATGTAATGGGTATGTGATTATATTATTCATAATCAACATGTTGTTTATAAACATAATATTTGTAATCAAAATGTTGTTTATAATCAAAATGTTGTTTATAATCAAAATG